AGAACTACTTCATGTGGATGCTCATCGACCCCCTCAACAACAACGGAGACGGACCTACTGGGTCGAGGAGGAAGGTGCATGGGGCTTGCTTATGACCCCAGATGACGCGATGCTACCCGCGGAAGTATATCCTCAAGCGGCGGAGGAGCGCCTCAACGACGAGGTCTACTGGTCCTGGGATGATTCCGGGTGGCGCGGCTACCTGCAGGACGACTATGGGTACTGGGTGGAGACGGACGGCTATGGCACATTCTGGGCATCCGAGGGAGACATCTCTTCGGACCTCAACCCGGAGTTGAGGAGCAGAAGGATCTGGACGACGCCTACGCGGCCTTCGAGGACAAGGCCCGGACCTTCGCGCAGAGCAAGACCTTTCAGAGAGCAAAAGGTGGTGCGCGGGGATTCTACCCCTTCGGGAAAGGCAAGGGGAAGAAAGGCAAGCCAAAGGGCAACTTCGGGAAGGGCAAAGGCTATGGTGGCTGGAAAGGTTCATCGAGCTCGACGAGCACCTCAACCACCATGGGCAAGCCCTCGAATGTGATGGTGACGGAGAGTGCCCTGGCGGTGAACGGCTACACCGGATGCTTCATCTGCGGAGACCGGAATCATGGTTTTCGGCAGTGCCCAAATCGGGCGAGCGGATCAGGGCAGAGCTCCGGAAAGGGGAAGAACGTCTTCTGGAACACCACCGTTCCCTCAGCGATGAACGGACGAATCTACATGATCACGGAGCACGAGGAGCAGAAGGTCTTCGTGGGAGGCACGGACATGATGATGGATGATCCTGAGCGACCTGGAGGAGTTGTTCGGGAGACTGCCGGTTTCGGGGTGCTGGACATCGGTGCCACCGAGACGGTCGGTTCCTTAGAGGCGATCGAGAAACTGTGCCAACTGCGAGGACCGCATCACGCCAAGGAGATCAAGGTGATCCCGCATGGGCAGAAGTCTTTCCGATTCGGGAACAACCAGGTGCAGCGGTCAGAGAGCTACATCCTGGTGCCTCAGCAGATTGGACAGCAGTGGTTGCAACTGGGGATCTTCACGTTGGACGTTGGCCAGATCCCCATCCTCATCGGAGTGAAGACGCTGACCAAGTTGGGCGCGATCTTGGATGTGGCAGGCCAGTGGATGGTTTTGAGTCGTGTGTGCCCAGGACTGAAAGTCCCTTTGAGGCGAAGCGCGGCAGGTCATTTGCTTGTAGACTTGACAAATGACTGGATGGTGAGCGGCAAACCCTTGCCTGATGTACAGACACCCGAACCTGTTTTGCACCTTACGGATCCGACCGAGACAGCATACATGGTGCATGGGGAGGGTGAAGGTGTGACAGATCTGTACGCCTCTGAAGTTATGGTCTGTGGCCTTGAAGGTGAAGGGCAAGTTCCGGTCTTGGATGATGGCGGAAACCAGGTGTTGTGGGCTGGAACGCAATTGAACGACCCGAACAGCAATTCGGATCAAGAGATGCGGGACCGCATCCTACAAGCCCTAGCTTCCCCTAGCTCACCTGCGAGCGAATCCCATGGCCACGGAGAAGAACTATGGCAAGAGCAAGGGCAAGGGGAAGAAGAAGATGACGATCGTGGTGCCGCCGGAGGAGAAGTACGATTCGGCAAGGATGCAAGGTCCCGATCCTCGGGACGAGAGATGCGTGGGGGCACCATGCTTCGGAGCTCACATCCCAGCCAGGCCGGGGCCGGGCAGCATCAGTGGGGCCAACAAGTTCGCGATCTGGACGGGGTGCTGCCAGTGCGGAATCAGGCCGTCGTACACTCCAGCCTTCGGAGCGCATGGGTTGACGAGAATTGTCAAAAGACGTCGAGACAACCCTAGCCAAGGAGGATCCGGAGAAGCTCAAGGGCACGGTCAAGCTGAAGGATGCGCACATTGGGCTGGACGGAGCCGAGCAGAGCTTGCTGAACCAGCTGGCGAAGATCAAGGAGAGGAAGGCCAACCTGGTCAAGCAGGCGGAGAGCTCGGAGAAGCACAACATGGAGAAGCCAAAGAAAGAGAGGATGGCTCGGGGGCAATCCAGCTCGGAGCCAAGCCCAAATGTGCCCCCAGAGACGCGGGAGTACATCGTGTTCTCCAGCGACCCGGAGGACGCGGAGCACGAGGCAACGATCGTGCGCGAGAAGAAGATTCCGGTGAAGAAGGAGCCGGACCAGATGTCAGCTACGCCGGGCCGCAAAGCCCGGAAGGCGGAGGAGACGGCGGAGGACCTGGAGTATCAGGAGCGCTCGGAGTGATGGAAGATGAGGAAGAGACCTCAGTGGACTTCGAGGATGTCGACGAGACACCGGACGCGAACTACCACGACGTGATGGTGAACATGACGGAGGAGGACAAGAGGATGGTCAACGAGCAGTACAGCCACTACCTCAGCGCCATCAATGAGGCCTGGTCCATGATGGGCATCGGCGAGAACAAGGGTGGCATGAAGGTGATGGAGCTGTGCTGCGAAGAGAACAGTGGCCTTGGTCAGGCCGTGGAAGCCGTCGGTGGGACCATCAATCGTTGTGGCCTCTTCAACAACTGCGACATTATGAAGAGGGCAGGCTACGCGAAGGTGGAGCAGCTCATTGAGAAGGAGCGACCGGACATCCTGTGGTTGTCTCTTCCATGCGGAGCGACCTCGACCATCCAGGCCCTGAATCGGCTGACTCCGGAATCCGGCGCGAAGAGCGACAAGAAGATCGCGCTGGCCAGACGCCGAGCTACTCGTGGAATTTCTCTCGTGGAGAAGCAGATTGAGCTGGGAGGAGAAGTTCTTCAAGAATGGCCCAAGGAAAATTGGGGCTGGGGATTTGCGAGCATCCGGCATTTCTGGAAGCGGCGACATCGTGAACGCCGGTACTTTGAGGCCCAGGTGGATGGATGCGCGTACGGCCTCGTCATGGAGGGCGAGATCATCAAGAAGCCGTGGATCATTCGCGGAGCCTCACAATGGGTTTGGAAGTTGGAGAGGAAATGTCCGGGGAACCACGTCCATGGAAAATGTGAAGGTGGACTCCGGACGAGGAATTCAGCACTGTACCCAGTGAGGTTGTGTCAGCGGATCGCGCACGTGATGATGGGCATCCACCGGGACAGGAACAAGGAGGCGGACGCGGTGATGGCTGCAACGGCAGCAGAACTCGACAGGTCTTGCTTGCAAGGGATGACGGATCAGGAGCTGGCGAAGATGGGCCAGGACCTGATGCGACTACATCGACGACTTGGTCATCCCAGTCGACAAGCCCTGATGCGGATGCTACAGGACCGAGGAGCTTCCCAACAGCTGCTGGTGATCGCCAAGAACATGGTCTGCGAAGACTGTCAAGAAGCTCACATGCCATCTGCGAAGCGGCCGACCACGATAGAGACGGCCAACAAGCTGTGGCAGGTGGTGCAGACGGACAACCTCATGATCACCGTGGGAGAGGAGGTCTACCACTTCCAGCTGATAATGGACGAGGCGAGTTCCTTTGCGGTGGTCGTCTACTTGTTCAAGCACAAGGCGACAGAGGGACGGAATGCCACCTCAGAGGAGATCTTGGAGTCTCTCCAGAGCAGATGGATTCAGTACTTTGGGTACCCGGAGAAGATCAAGCTCGATAAAGAAGGAGCGCACCGGGGGACTCTACTTGCTGAATGGGCAGATCAGCATGGAGTGGAGTGGAGATGGACTTCATCCCTGCGGAGTCTCACGGCATGATCGGATAGGTGGAGCGTGGCATTGGCGTGCTGAAAGACCGGATGATCAGACATCTGCGTTCTAGTGAAGGAGATCCACGCGAAGCAGCCTGGGCAATGGTGACCGCCCACAATGGACTGGCCCGGGTCGGAGGATATTCTCCACAGCAGTGGGTGTTTGGACGAAACTTCACTGACGCAGACCGACTTCATGATGGACAGGACCTACCTTTCTGGTCCTCGGTGAGTTCAGACGAACGGATGCGGAAGACCTTGGAGATCAGAATGCAGGCTGAGACCAGCTACCGGAAGGCAACGGTGGAGGACAAGATCTCACGGGCTCGGAATTCGCAGTCTCGACCTGTGGTGAAGTAGCGGGGACCTGGTCTTCTACCGGAGGTACCAACAACCTGCAGATGCACGAAGCCATGCTCGACTCGATGTTCCTCGGCTGCGTCTGGCGAGGTGGTATGGACCTGCGAGGATCCTGGCATTGGAGACGAAGGTGCCCTTCTCAGGGGAGATCCGGCAACCACATCAGCTGGCATGGATCATCAGCCAGGGGAGACTGAAGCGAGTGCATGTCCTTCAACTCAGACATGCCTCCGAACGAGAAAAGGTCATTGCTGAAGATGGTCAGGTGATCACGACCCCCTGGACCTTCGGTGATGTAGCAGCCGGACTCAACAAGGGGGCCTTCGAGGATCTCGTAGAAGACCGAGCTCTACGCCGGGAGCAGAAGCCAGACGATCGAGGAGCCAAGCAGAAGCGGAGGAAGTTTGGCTTCGCGGATGGTGAGCGTGCGAGAAGGTGGAAACGACAGAGCGGTGAGATCGGCGGGGATGAGTCTCAAGCCGACGCACGTGCGAGAAAGGAGAGAGAGCCTCCAGCCTTTCGGAGAGAGCGAGAACGGCAGAGGACTGAGGAGGAAGAATTCTTCCGGGAGATCTTTGGAGAAGACAGAGATGTGGATGGCAGCCGCCTGGTAGACGATGCGGATTACTTGCCGATGAACGCGATCCCCGCATCGACCGGAAGACCGTCCTCGTCATCAGGTCAGCCTGACCCCATTCAAGATGGAGGTGAGCTGTTGCGGAATGAGCTCTTTCAGCGTGCGAAAAGGAGACATGAGCTGGAGGACCGCCCTCAGCATGTGATAAAGGAGCAACCTGAAGCAGAGCGTGATGTCCTGGGCTTTGTGCCGGAGCTCCAGGAGTTTGAGAACATTGTGTTTGCGGTGATCCTGCCAGAGCCCAAGGATGAGACAGAGTGGAAGGCCACCGTGAAGGACCCTCAGAAGTTCATGGCGAAGAAGGTCGCAAAAGGTGTGGAGGTGTCCTGGCAGAGGCTTTCACTGGAGCAGAGAGCCGCAATGAAGGAGGCGAAGGGGGCCGAAATCAATGAGTGGTTGAGCAACAAGGTGGTGCGGGCTGCGATCGGCGACGTCCCGCCACATCGGCTGATGAAGATGAGATGGGTGTTGACCTTCAAGAACGGACCCGAAGATGGAACGGTGAAGGCGAAAGCTCGTCTGGTGGTGCTCGGCTACTCGGACCCCGATGCCGGTTACCTCAACACGAAGAGCCCAACGATGACACGGAGAAGCAGACAGCTGCTACTTCAAATGGCAGCACACCGAGGTTGGCGAGTGACCAAGGCCGACGCCCGCGCTGCTTTTCTTCAAGGTGGAGAGACCCAACTTCAACGACAAGTTTTTGGACTACCGGTGGAGGAGCTGGCCACGGCAATGAATCTCCCAAAGGGGCGTGCGGTGCAGTTTCTCAAGGCTACCTATGGACTCACGGTGGCACCTCGAGAATGGTTCCTGAAGGTGGACGCCATCCTGGCGGAGGTTGGTTTGAGCAGATTGAAGACGGAGCCGTGCATGTGGAGTCTGAAGGTGCCGGACATGAACCGGGAGGACGGCAAGCAGCGGGTACTCGGGCTGATTTCTGCCCATGTGGATGACTTCCTCATCACTGGAGATGAAAGTGATGAGCGATGGAATGTGGCGGTGAAGAAGTTCCACGCGGCACTCAAATGGAGCCCGTGGGAAGAAGCGCCGATGATGCACTGTGGAGTTCAACTGCAGCAACTACCTGATGGTGGCTGGCTGCTGGATCAGGAGGAGTACTGCTCGGGACTTTCACAAGTCACCCGAGATGGCACAGGCAAGGAGCTCACTGAGAATGAACGATCTCAGGCTCGTGCGGTGCTGGGTGCAGTGCAGTGGCGAGTGTATCAGAGTGGACCTCAGCATGCCGCAAAGCTGAGCCACCTCCAGAGTGTGCTCCCGAGAGGAGACAGCACCGTCTTGGGCGAGATCAACAAGCTTGTCCGCGAGGTCTATGGCCAGAAAGACACCGCCCTGCGGATCTTTAACCTGAATGCGAAAAAGGAGGACGACCTGGTGGTTGTTGGATGGTCAGACGCGGCGCTTGCCAACCGAGTGGATCTGGGATCAACGGGAGGCTACATGATCGGCATGTGTCATGCGAGCATGCTTGATGGAGTTCGTGGACCGGTGAGCCTGATCAGCTGGTCCTCAACGAGACTCAAGCGAGTTTGTCGGTCGAGCCTCAGCGCTGAGACCCAAGCATTGGCGGAGACGGAGCAGGAGGTGATGTTCATCCGGACTCAGTGGAGCGAGATGAGTGGGTTCCCCGTGGACCTGGCCAAGCCGGAGGAGTGCACGAAGAAGACAAAAGGGGTGCTGGTCGTGGATGCGAAGGCATTGTATGACGCGGCCAGCAACGGCGAGATCCAGACATCCGCCTTCAGCATGCGGGAGAAGTACACCGCGCTCGAGCTACTGGGGCTGGTGGAGAACATGGGCCGCCAGGACACGCAGATGAGGTGGTGCGACAGCGACGCCCAATTGGCAGATGGGCTGACCAAGCTGAGCGCACAGGACAGAGTGCGGAAGTTTCTCCAGGCTGGGCAGCTGTGGAATCTGGTGCATGACGAGAAGTTCGTCAGCGCCAAGAAGAAGAAGCAAGCACTTCTTCGAGGCGAAGGAGAAGAAGATGGAGCGGAACTCCGAGACCGCTCATGGCGAGAACTCGTGAGACGCTAGGTTAAGTCTCTTTCGGCAACAGCCTTTGGGGCATGTGAAGTTCTCAGCCTCGTGTGTGTGAGCCTCTTGTGTTTTGCCTACAGAGCCACAACCTTGCACACGCTGTTCGCCGTTTTGGTCCGAGGGATCCCTTTAGCCATTTGGTCACTGTACATTTGCTCAGGGCACCTGAGCTTGCAATGGAGTGAGAAAAGAGCGGCAAGGCCACTTGCTGGTTGCTTGGGGTTGCACTAAACCCCCGGGAGCTCTTAGGCTCCAACGCGGAAGGTCAGCCAACAGCTGGCCTGGCCCCGTGTAAGCCAAAGAAGGAGGGAACTATGCCCGTGCCTTGTGTGTCAAAAAAGGAACCCCCAGAAAGGGCCTCATGCAAAAGGCTTGTGAAGCCCTGAACTTTCAGCTGAAAACTCGATGGGGTCGTTGGGTAGGCCGGGTCTTTGGGATTCCCTGAGGTGCCTGCGGCCTTTCCAGCCACCTTGCAGAGCTTGACCTTTGGCGGGTGCTTCGACCAAGTCTTGCAGATAGCTTTGCCCGCCGGCCTCAAGATCCTGACATTTGGACATTCGTTCAACCAAAAGTTGGACGGACTGGTTCTGCCGGAGGGCTTGCACAGCATCACCTTCGGCTCCAGCTTCAACCAGAGCTTAGAGGCGGTGAGGCTGCCCAGCAGCTTGCAGAGCTTGGAGTTTGGCAGGGACTTCAACCAGAGATTGTTGAGAGTGGCGCTGCCTGCTGGCTTGCAGAGCTTGACTTTCGGAGATTGTTTCAACCAGAGCCTCCAGGGAGTGACCTTCCCAGGCAGCTTGCAGAGCCTGACGTTCGGGATCGGCTTTAATCACGACTTGCAGGAAGTGGTTTTGCCCGACACTTTGCAGAGCCTTGTGCTTGGCCCGAAGTTCCATCAAAGCTTGGAGGGGATGAGACTGCCCAGCCTACTGCGACTTGAGTTCCGGAATTTCTTTTACCAACGCTTAGCGACTCTCTCAAGCAACCTGCAGTGCCTGAAATTTCACCGCGGCTTTGACCAAAGCTTAAGAGAAGTGGCTTTGCCCAGCGGCTTGCAGAGCCTCATGCTTGGAAAGGCAGGGTTGCTTTGAGCCCAGTGATGACCAACCCCCCAGGGCAAGCAATGGCTTCGTCGTTCTGCACTTGTTTACATGGCTTTTTTGCCTTTCTCCAAGTGTTTGGAAATCCTGCTTCTCCGGGGCCAACATGATTTCCTCAAGCGCTTTAGGGCAAAACACGGCTGGTTCCATGTCCAATCCTGAAGGACTTCAACCAGAGCCTGGAGGGGGTGATATGGCCCAGTTTGCTCAGCCTCTCGCTCGGACAAAGCTTCGACAAGCCTTTGAAGAATGCCGCGCTTCCCAGCAGTTTGCAACATCTGACCCTGGACGATACATTGCCAGATTTAAGATGCTACATGATTGCAAGTCCCTGTGGGCAAAGTCCGGAGTTTGAATTTCCGCAACCGGGCCACCTACATCGCCAGACAACAGAGTGTCTGCCTTTTTGCTCTTCTGGGTTTGCTTCATTTTCCCTTTCAGCCAGGACATAGCGTTTGCTTTTGCATGGGACCGGCCAAGGATAGTTATGGCCAAAGCTTGCAGGGAATACCTCCACGCTTGCAAAGTCTGCAGCTTGGGTCAGCTGACATCTCGGGCGCAATGCTTCCCCAAGGCCTTCAGAGCCTAAGCTTTTGCCGCCGCTTCAACCAGCGAGTGGATGGCGTGATTCTGCCGGAGGGCTTGCAGAAGCTGCGCTTTGGCAGTTACTTCAACCAGAGCTTAGAGGCAGTGAGACTGCCCAGCAGCTTGCAGAGCTTGGACTTTGGCAGAGACTTCAACCAGAGATTGTTGGGAGTGGCGCTGCCTGCTGGCTTGCAGAGCTTGACTTTCGGAGATTGTTTCAACCAGAGCCTCCAGGGAGTGACCCTCCCAGGCAGCTTGCAGAGCCTGACGTTCGGGATCGACTTCCGCCAAGGCTTGCAGGAAGTGATATTGCCCGACACCTTGCAGAGCCTGGTATTTGGCTACAAGTACAACGAAAGTTTGGATGAAGTGACTTTACCTGGAAGCTTGCATACGCTGACCTTTGGCAGCTTTTTTAACCAAAGCGTGCGCAGAGTGAGATTTCCGAGCACTTTGCAGAGCCTGCAGTTTGACCGTCGTTTTGACCAAGCCTTGCAGGACATCCCCCCGCACAAACCCTCGGAGACATTTCACCAAGGGAATGTGGCTAACTAATTCAGGTGGGGAATTGTGGGGGGGGGTGCCCGGGTTTTTGCGTTTTGCCCGGAAAAAAGGACGTCCACATCCCCAGCTTGCAGAGCCTCACGCTGGGCAGCGATTTTGACCAGCCCTTGCAGGGGGTGAACTTCCCGAAGCGCCTCGAGCGCTTGACACTGGGCAGGGCCTTCAACCAGAGCTTGCTTCTTGCCAAGAAGTTAGCGCGGCGCAGTCTTCGACGAAGGCGGTGCTACACAAAGGGGGCGCTAAATCATGGTGCGCCGTTTTCGTGTAGAATGGGTGCTAGAGAAGTGGTGGGGTTGTGACGTGCTTCAAAGGTAGATCACTGGCAAAGTGCTCCAGATGAGCCAAACAGTTCTTTTTGCGGCTGTCTTTGCTTTGTTTGTAGTTATTTTGCTCAAAATAGGGATCTCTTCAGCTGGCTTGTTTTGTTTCTTTTGGCTTCGCCTGAGAACCCCAAAAACAACTCTGCTGAGAACACCCTTTTGCAAAGAGGTTTGGCCAATTCAAAGGGCGTTATGTACAGATGGGGTACTTCCCCCGAACGGTGTCAGGATCATACCTCTTCATGCTTGCCCATGGGACAGTTGGCGAAGAACAACACATCCGAGTTCCGGGGATTAAGATAAAGATGGAATCAGCCACACAAGCTTCCGTTTGGTGGTTGGTACACGGCACCCTGTTCCCCTTTGCTGCCTTCGGTACTTGCTGAACATGGACTCAACCAAAAAAATGGGAACCGCCTTTTTGCTCTCATGGCACCCTTGTCCCCTTGCTCAGTGGTCGAGACCCAACAAAAAGGGACTCCCGCCAACAACGCAAACGGTTCCAGCTCCTCCGTTAACACGGGCTGAGCAATGCTGAATGAAGGCGACGCCCCGGACACCTCATGGTGCATCAGCTTTCGGAAACCACCTTTGGCGGTTTCCCTTTGCTCCATCCCCGCATGCCTGTCTTCAAAAAAAAACGGTGACACGTCACTTGGCCATGTTGAGGCACCATCCTACCATCCTGTCCTGCATGTTTGGGGTTGGGAGGCCACTTCGACCTCATTTTGCTTTGGGCCCTTGTGCCCAAGAGAAGGGCTATTTCCGAAGGCCCAATGCGTCAACCCACAAGCGCAGAAACCGCCCTAAGCTCTCAGTTTCTGGGCAGACGCTTTTATCGTCGCTTCGGGGGCTGATAAGGCACGGTGTGGATCTGAGCAACCTGCGCTTTTTGAAGCTGGGGGAGAAGTTCCAGCAAGACCTGGCTGTGCCCAGTGGCCTCCAAAGCAACTTGGCATTTAGTCATGGCCATGTGGAGTGCGATATCCCTTGACCCTTTGAGAAGGCCTTACTTGGGCCTTGGCTTCTGCTAGGCTTATTCCTGGGATAGCCGCCCATCGCCCCTCCTTGGTCCATGAGGTAGGAGCAGAAGCGGAGTTTTAATCATGCGTTGCGCTGGTTTCGGGTTGGTGCGAATCATTGCCCATGCCGTCTATGTGTCCAGAAGAACACCTAGCATTGGGAGGTGTTCTCAAAATTGCTTTTGGAGGTCAGATTCGTCCATGCTTATGTCTTTGCGGGGGTCGCAAGACTGCTGTTCACATTTGTTGTCTGGCTCACAAGCAATCTTTGTGCCAGAACCTAGACATGTTGCTTTCAGTTGGCGGGCAGGCAGGTTGTAACCATGGTTCTAAGTGACCCAACCTTTGGTGCCAACAGCCTTGGATGCACCCAGACTGTGGTTGATCCAACTTGGATGTCATGAGCTTGATAAAGGTCTTATTGGTCGAGATAATGATGGATCAAAATTGATAAAGGGAATTATTGCATGGTAGTCGAATTAGAACTTTTTTACGGCAGTTTGTAGATAATTTAACAAAGGATACAGATCGTTTTTTTACAGATAAACATTTAATACAGGATGTAAACATTCAATCACAACCTGTATATAAATCGTTCATAAATGAGTAAACCTTGCAGGTCATTGTATAATTCATTCATGTTTCAATAAAGGATATAAACATAAACGCAAGTTGCAGAGGCCTGGAACTCGGGCAGTGCTACACCCAGCGCCTCAGCGCATTCGCTTCGGCTTTGCAGTCGGTGAGTGCGGGGGGCGTCACGGTGCGCTGCCCCTGAGGCCTCAGACCGGTAAACAGTTGTTTGCTCCTTCGTTCCGGTTGGAGGGGGGTTGCCCTTTAGCGACCTTTGACAATTGGAATTTTGAGCTAGATGAAGGGCCTTTTTGCAGTTGCTTAAGATGTGTTTTTTGTTTCACCCGTTGGTTTCAAAGGGATCACCCGTTGGTTTCAAAGGGAATCTATCACTAGTGGCAATATGTTTATTGTTTTTGCCAGGGGACTTAAGCAAATGGAAGGCCTGGACGACTTTTACTATACTGGAGGTTTCACTCCAACTCAATGATGTGCGCTGGCTCACAAAAGCCGGCCTTCGCCTGAAGCAGAGTGCATCTACCTGCCGGGGGTGCAATGCCTCAAACGCCTGCTGGAGCTCGCTGCAAAAAGCGCCTTTCGATGGACATGGTCGTCCTTCATTTTGTCAGCTACACCATTCCTGAATGGATGTACTGGCGCAGTTCCATGGCGGCAGCTACATAAAGTAGGAAATGAAGATATGAAGTGAAGTCCATTTGTCGGAAATAGCTGATTTCGTCAGTAGACCGTTTCTCGGGGTGCCCGATCAATCCGAGTCCTGTTGCTTGATGTCGACCCATCGTGGCGTCATCCTACCTCTTCCATTCAGCAGTTTTCTGTTCACAAGTTTGTTTGATCCACTTTTGTGCTGCGAGCGATTCTTTGGCAAGCCAGCGCTATGGAGTCTGCGAACGTTACAGCCGAGTGATGGGCCAAGTGGGCTTCTTCGCGAGGAAATGGGCCACGTTCGCATTGATCGCACTTTGCGCAGCATGGTCAATGCCTTCACAGCAGGAGCTTCCTGGTTTTTGGACCAAGCAGGAGACACACACAGAGAGCTCAATTACCCGCAACACCGAGTGCACATCACAAAGTGCCAGTTCTTTTCAAGCAGGGGCAAGTGAGCAAGTCTGGGCCCACCTGATGAGCGGTTCAAGTTTAATAGATTTGCCCATCGTCTTGAAGCGAGCGCTTCTCAAGCAAATATACTCACTAAGTTGTCCAGAGGTTTGAACTATCGGGATAGCAGTAGGAGAGAGAGAGAGAGAGAGAGAGAGAGAGAGAGAGAGAGACAGAGAGAGACAGAGAGCGACAGAGACAGAGAGACAGAGAGACAGAGAAGACACGTCTGAACTAGTCCTTTGGGCGGCGTAGCCGGCTGCCCGACCCCTACCAGACTTACAACGGGGTCCCAATATGTCCCGTTTTGTGGTTTAAACACCTCTTTTTTGCCGGCCCGCTCAAGGTACGTTTCCTTGGTAGGGGTGATGTGTTAGAGGGAAATGTTGAGAACCCACGTTCTTCGCCACGCTTGCTTGCACTGCCAAGCCTTTATCCGTTTTTTTCTCAAGTGTGCAGCGCCGACCTTTTCACCTTCCTGTTTGACCCATTTTGAGTGAAGCTCTCAAAAGGCTAAGTTTATTTTTCTCGTCCTTTTGGTTAGTTGAGGTTGGTTCCTCACAAGGATGCTTGCAGCTCACCTCCGCAGAAGCCTTCCCTTCCATCCCCCTTGAAAATCCACCGGCAATTGGGTTGTCGCAGAGCTGAGGTTCTTCATATGTGGAGAGGCTGGCTCGCGCGGGGGTTGGGGGGGAGGTAGGGGGGCCAACCGTTGTGTGTGTGTGTGTTTGTTGGGTGCCCTTTCCAGGTGGGTTCAAGCCGAAAGGCAAACCACATGTTGGGGGGTACTCCTGTGTGCAGGTCAACCGAAGGGAAAGCCAGAAGGACACCCAATTCCCAATTTTGTTTCCTATGTCAAAGGGTTGCATTGCCCTGGTGTGTGGATTCAAGATCATTCCACATCTCGTGTTTTCTTGGCGTCCGTTCAATCAAAGCCGGCCCAAAGTCGACTATGTAAACTCTCTAAAATATGGAAGCGAAGAGGTGAACCTTTGAACTCGTTGCTTTGTCTTTCTTCTTTGTTCGGATGTGTTTGTCATCCCTGTGTTGGACTAGGTGGTTGGCTTATTTGCATCAAGCACAGGGCCCTGTGTGGCGTACAGGGCCACAAGCCGCCCAACAAGTCTGTGCTTTATGTCCTTCCGTCACCGGTTTTTCGGCTGGGTGCAAAGTGTTGCCCGAAGTGTCAAGCGTCTATAGGTCGGACCCCTGAGGGTACCACCCAAAAAGTGACATAATTCTGAGTTGCCATTTAGGGGAACCGGTAGGGGTAGCCCAGTGAACTTTCATTTCCCGGGCTCTTGGACCTTTGGGTGGCAAGCCACGGAGATGTGGTAAAGCAATGCAAAACAAGAAGGGTTTGCCAAGGCAGGCAGATGACCACACCAGTTACGAAAGAATGTTGCATGACAAGCATGTGTTGCTTCCTGGATTGATTGGAGCAAGAGTGCCAGGCAGGTTGACATACAGAGTTTCCACCACCCGACACACACACACACACACTGATGAAAATGCGGTTGTTGTTTGGACTAAGTAAGAGTTATAAGCAATTCTGTTTGGGACCGCCGTCTAGGCTTCACATCAAAGCAGCTCACGATGTCCAGCGGTAGGATGAGTTTCTGCTCGTATTTCTGAACCCTCCCCTTTGTTCGCCAAATGGTTTAGGCCTCAGGAGTTGCGGCTACCAACTAGTTCTGCCTGGCGTGAGGTCCATAGTGGGACCTCATAATTCTTTGTAACTGTCTTGGTAGAAGCAAAAGTGACAGTCAATGGTCTTTGGGCGCAAATGGGATGCTGCGGCTTGGCTCGCTTCAAGCCAATCCTCAACCAGAGGTACTCATTTCTGTAGATTATCAGCGAAAATAGGCGCTGAGGTAGCCATCACCCAAGTGACATATGCCCAGGCCACCAACAGGAGGGGTGCATTACTAGCAGGTCAAACATGGAAGCCAAGAAACAAGACCTTGTTTTCCAGGAAGCCTTTGAGGATTCCATTCCGGGTGCCCAATGTAGCCAAGATGTGCCGAATGTTCCCAACAGGAAACCAAGACCAAATTGGAGAAACAAGCTCCCCCTCCTCCAATCAATTTGGTGCATCTAGCCCCCAAAATAAAGGGGATCCGCCGGTGAACATCCCAATCCTCACTAAAATAGACCAAAATGGGTGGTGCACCTACCCCAAAATGGGACCCCAAAACGGTTTTGACAACCACAGCCATGTGCTTTCACCCAACCTAGCCCAACAGCTTCCTCCTTGCCGCTAGGCGGGAAGCCTCTTCAACACCTCCGGGCTCGTGGAGCAGTTCCTCGCCTATGACAGGTTCGGTTTCGTGTCGCGAGGGCTTCGGCTTTTTGACGGTCTCCGTTTAGGTTAACGGGAATCCAAGAGAAAACGCACCATGTTGTGTTCCCTATTTTGACATGGACCGAACCAAACATATGATTTTTAGTTGGCAAGAGATGAGCGGAAGTCGAATTCGACACTCAAGATGCCCTAGCGAATCCCCCCATATGCGCCCAATGCATTGAGGCGGGTGTAGTCCGAAGAAAGGTCTTGCGTGTGCAGGCCACCGAGCCCAATCCCACTTTGTGTAAGATGGTCAAAGCATTGACCCCGGTGCTCATTACGACCTTGTGTCTCAGTTTGCAGGGATGCGATTCTTTGCAGCAGAGTGCGCTACGCATGGATTCTTTTTTCTGGCATTCAATTGTGTGGCATTTCTGTGTGGTTGCACAATTTGCATCTGGAGGAAATTTGGCAGATTTGCATGACAGAGTGGAACGCATTCAGCAAGATATTCTGGAATTTTCAGAAGTGGAATGATTTGGAACATCTACTCAAGATCGCAGTGGGTCCACTGCTGTTTGAGAGGTCGTCTTTAAGGCGGAGAGTCAAGGGCCCCATGCATGTCCATGGTGTTGAGGGTTTGCAGCTTCATGTCCAGAATGCAAAACATCATGTCCAACATGCGCGCAACACAAGGGTCATAAAATGCTTCCTGCTAAAAAGTGGTGGGTCCTTGCCTTTGCAGTTCAGGGTGTACTAGGGTGAAAGTGGGACTCAAATGGGGGAATGGTGCCATCTACTTTCAATGTTCTTGGTGAAGCGCTCTTGGTTTGCTTCCGTTCGAATTTGATCAGCGAGGTGATCAAGTTGTCTTTCACAAGGCTTGTTTGAGGACTACACGCTCGAAAGTTGGGCTTTAAAAGGCTATCTGAAAAGTTCCTCTTGTCCACTTCGAATCGTCCTTTTAACTATTGGGCTTCCCTTTTGGCCCATTTCAGTCAAGATTGCCAATGGCGAGCAAACTGTTGTTCCCCAAGTCCGGGCTTTTTGCGACATTTCAGGGCTTCATACTGTGGATGGACGAAATCCATTTCGCACCATCCAAGAGACCCTGGAATGATCATTCCACTGTAAATACTAAGCAAATAACGGCTTCAACCATGGTTTCTAAGTGGTGCGAAATGGGTGTGGCTCAAAATTTAAGAGCTAGAGTTACCGGGTTTTGGTCTTTGCCATTTTAGTACATGTCTTTGAGCCACAGCCAAATGGATTTCGCCACCATGCGCAGTAGTGCACTATGCCCCCAGACTCAACACCGCGTACGGCAGGGATGCGGTCATCGTGGACCACCACATCATTTGCATGAAGCCCCGGAGTGGCAAGGCTGGAGCAACGAATTCAGCCAATCGCGCCCTTTCTTTGTTGCATTTTTCTTGGATGTTAGGACTTTAACGTTTTGCAAACTAATGGGTTTTCCATTAAACCACTAAAAGTTAATCTTTTAGCAGGGGAGCAGAAAGCCACCGAGCCTTGTAGGGTGACCCACGTGAACGGAGGTCCGGGTCCAGGAGAATAGACCAAAACCAGCTTGGTTGCGTTTGGAGGTGGTTGCAGTTTGATGGCGCGAGATTTGCTCAACTGGCGGCTGTCTGCCTCGGGCCATCAAGTGAGCACTGTGAAGGGGCCAATTAATTTCCCCAACATAGTACCCAGGTCAAAGATGTTGCCTCAACTGGAAGCATGCGCATGTTTTGTCGGCTGTTTGCATGCAGGGAACAGGGTCCTAGTTCAAACGTCCAGCCCGCCTTGCCCAACAGGCTTCGGATTTTGAAACAACATGCAGATTCGCAGCGGTAATGTAGGCCGCCATTTTGATGCTGGTTTCCTTGCAAGCCCTTCACGACGAAGACGGCGGTCAGCACAATAGAATACAATCTTG